GGGTTCGATTCCCGTTCGCGGAGGAAAGTTTTGCTTGAAACCGAGTGGTGTACCAATATCAATATGTGTTGTATTGATGTTTGTGGAGGTGTTCAGTGATCAGTTAGTCGCACTGGCGATGATGTAAATAAAGTACCTTGAAGGGTGATATTTATCCTCTTCGTCGGTTTGAGGTGCAACATACCGCCCTAAGGATCGGTGTCTAATCTTCTCTCTGAGCCAGTGTCGATTATTCAAATACGTGTCATATTGTGGTAAATATATTGAGAATATATGACGTCGATCTCATATGATAATGATTGAATGAAGGAAATAGAACTGTTTAAAAATAAATCAAAATCAAAACGTAAATGTGATTGCACGATAGATTTCTTCATGAGATATGCCAGTTCAGTTTTAAGTGGATAGAATTCAGTTTTGAAATGCAGCGAATGAAGGTGATCCGATTTCAGTGCTCAAATCCTCACCGTTACTATAGAGGTCTGATTAGAAAGAGAGGTGTACCACTCATTATGGGCAAACGGCTGAAACCGCGACAGTTCGTTTTTATGCTTCTTTAATTTATACCTCCATCACCTTCTAATATTTCTTTCTGTTTTATTACTATAATTGTTGCTATTGTACAGGTGCCAAGCTTACTTGCACTGACTTACTACTGAGGCTGACATATTTTACTGAAAGATTTGATTGAATTGCAAAATTTGGATTTTATTCACTTCACCAATTTATTCCCATTTTCTCACAATCCCACCAAATCGGCATTTCACAATTTATATTTGATTATTATTATTATTACTATCCAAATTTTTGATCGATGCATGCTGAATTGCGGTTCCCTCCATCTCGGTCTGCATTTGAAAATATTCCAATGAATATTTGAGCATTCATTCTTTAAAAAATGAGAACTTTTGTGATGAATTGTCGTTATGTTCCACTAGTGTAGTAGTTCTGCTGCGCGCAAGGCTGTTACGGAACAAGGAGAGGATTTAAACGAGTCGAAGGATGATGACAGTGTATTGCTGTGGATCACGTGAATAATGCTCATCGGTTTGTTCATTCCCTTATTGGACGCTGATAATAAGCACTCCAAATTTGTCTTTTGTGACAACGTCTCATTGAATTGGTCACTTCACATTAGTCGAAATTATATATTTGCTATTCTACTCAAGTGGAAAGTAAACATTGAACACATTTTTTTAACGATCGTCATTTTAATGTTTTCATCCAATCCAAAATGAGTTCAGTGTTCAGTATATACGTTTATCATTTCATTATTTTTGCATTCTTTGCTTCTTAATCATTTTTTCATTGGCCAACATTAGTTTATTGTTTTTTGTTTAAGATTTGGGTGAATGGATGCTATTTTACACGCTCAATTCTGGTAAATTGTTTTCTTTTCTTATTTTAGGNTGTTGTTCGTATCCCGCTTGAATAGTTTTCGAATTTAATGTCTCCTCTCGTCATTGTCGTTGATAAGTTTTTCTTGAACGCACTAATGCGAACTGTCCGCATGTCAGGACAGGTAATAAATGTATATTTTAGTTCCCCAATGCATTGCTCATAGATAGTTTACTTCCAATCGGTAACGCGTTTTCAAAACGAAATAAACTAACGCTAGCATCGTGTTGGAGTGAAGAAAATGTAAAGAGAGCACTAGACATGTATATTCGTTATTTGCCAGGGAATCAGCCAGTACAAATTGCTAAATCTCATGAATTTCATAAAATATCTCATATTGTTCGTTGTGTGTATGTTGTGTTGGTGTATATTGCTGTTGGTTTGTTTTCGCATTTTTAAACTATAGTTGGCGCAAATTCTGACAGTCGATTTAGAGAGATGAAAGAGAGAGGTGACGTGCCATGTTTGATTCGCAGGCAGTGATTGAGCATTTCAACGGTCAACTTCAGAGATGCGGCCGTTGTTGGCTCTAAATGCTTACGTTATTCACTCATGCAGTTTGTGTTTGTTGTGATGTCAGTTTGCGATAAAGAAATACAGGTTCGTTTCAGGGCGCTTGCATGTACTCTTTGTATGCTCGACAAAACAAACAGTCAACTCAACTTAACGCTTCCAAGGATCATTGCCCTCCGAAACTGTGCCTCACTGAATTGAATTATTTTTCGCCGTGATCACACACGGTAAGCTTAGTGATATGTAGTTTTGTGCGAAAGTATCGCATATTTCACATCATTTCAATTAGTGGAAAATAGTTTTCTTTTATTGCATCGCTATCTGCCATTTGTTTCACAATTCATTTTGTGTATGTTGTTCATTACGTGATTTTTTTTTGTGTTTGTCTTTGTAGAACAATACCTTCGAGTTATAATAAACTTAAAAAAACGAAGGCAAATATGGTCTTGAAAATCCATGCTGAATAAAAAGATTTTCAATTAGCCTGTTGTTCTGTGTATACGCTCTGAATTCGTTCTTGTTGGATTCTGAATAGACAATCGTTAAACTGCCTATTAAAGCGTTGTGAAATGAAACATCCGGTTACATGTTGTGGGGAATTTGAACATATCAAGAACTCGAAACTCAATTTTAGAAAGTCACAAAATACTCCAAAAAAGCCCTGATTTAGTGATATTTAATATTGTGAACATGTATTGTGTGTTGCTTTCTTTTGGAGACGAACGTCCCGGTTGAATGGCCTCACTAACTTACAAATCGAATATTCAACAAATTATCAAATTCAAAATTTGTCAAACATTGTGCAGCTTTTCCTTTGGTGACAATAGCTCGTATGACAATATTTACGTGTATACTTCTAAGGATCAAAGATGAACGCTTGTTGGGGTCGAAGCATCAGTCAAGTAATAAATGATACCATCTTTTTATTCCATTCATCCACACGGTGCTTAATAAGATTTCAACCCTAAAAATCGTTTATGACTGATAATATTTGCCAAAAGTTTTGTCTCGCCAATAATTTTTTAGTGCTAAATAAAACCACAGTGACCTCCTCGATAAGAATTTTCACTACCATATCACTTGACATTGAATTCCGTGAGTTTAAAAGCCAGAATTATTCTAATTGATCGTGAGTCGATTAGAATCAGGATTCATAAGAAGTTTATAATCTCGTTTGAAATTTATAATTTGCGAAAACAATTAGATGAGATAACATTAAAAACACTATGACTATGGCGATTATCTGAACACAACATGAGAACAATTGTTCAATGAGGTGATGAACGCATAGTGATAAACATCTGAAAATGAATCAGACCTTATCTATCGTTTTGTGGGTATCTGAGAGCATCGTAATGCATTTTGAAAATCGATCAATCGTAGAAACGTTTCACGTTTGAGTCCGATAATGCTTCTTGCAGAAATTCTAGGCAGTTTTTGCGATCGTTAATGATATCAGCGTTTTCTTGAAGATGTTCATCGTGAAAACGAAATGGACCACCGAGAAATGCAGGGAATCCCATTCCGAATACGCAGCCGACATCACCTTCCATCTGAATTCATTATTCATCTGAATCGATTGATGATTTCAATTTCAACTGAATTCCGTCATATCATTACTCTCAGAAACGAAAAAATCATTTCATGAAAATTGACTAAACATTTGATTAACTGATGTTCGATAAATGTGGTCAGCGATTTGATATGACCGAACAGTATCTGATTCATATACTGAGAAATGATGATAGTGGTTTTCCGAAAGACAAATGAAACTTAAAAGTTCTAAATGAGTTGAAAGATATTTTTNTTTTTGGAGTGAACCGAACGCCGACCAGAAAATTCAATGATATGTCCCAAACTGATAGCATATACTGTAACTCATTCAATAACAGTTTTAGAAAAGTTGGAGATAACTTTCAATGAGGGCCTTTATTCTTTAAGAGTATCATATTTTGTTGAGAGTCATCATCGCAGGATAAATAAGATATCTGCTGAATCAGGTGATGTGAATCCAGCGATTGTCACGATTCTCGTATTTGTCACGTCAGGAGGGGATGAGTGATTTTTAGAAAGATGTGAGAGTATCAATCAGAAATAATATTACCGGTGAACTGATGATGTTCGCATGGAAGCAGTTGAGCGCAACATTGCAAATGGCGAGTACAAGTCTCATCTGATGATCTCTTTCATTCATTTCGCTCTTCGGAATTATGCACTCACTTTTGCTTGAAAGTATATCGTATTGCGTATTCGACTTCTTATTTCTTTGTCCGTTTGAGTACGTGTACAACCCTCGACCACACTTCTTACCGATTTTCTTTGAATCTACTAACTGTAATTGTTGGGCATTGCAATTTCTCTCACATTAATATTATCATTATCCCAACATCAAAAAATACACTCGAGTACTGGTTCATTATAGCTGTTTCTCGTCGGTCATGCAAAGATTTTTACTTCAAAGAGGATCATGCAAAAAAGAACTCTATTTTCCACATTACAAAAAAAAAACTGAAACAAAATGAGTGCTAAACGGATCGATCTGTAATGAATTAGTGAATTTTTGCTCGCAACTATGAATGATGGATATAAAGTTCTTAAAAAATGACGCCAAATCTGAGTAATGTTCTGAAGTGATACATTTTGGTATAATATTCGCAATATATGATGCTAAGTTAGTGTGCTGTTTTATGATATATTGCATTGTATTGTAATGAATTGTAATNTAGCTGGAAATAGGCAGGAATTACTTGAATGAATGCATAATGACTGAGGCAATGGTTTAACCTTTTGAATAAAATCAAGCTTGAAATGGTAGTTGGAAGTTGTGAATCGACTGACAACATCGTTAATGACATCAAGTCCAATTGCATCTGATAATTCAGCAAAATTCATCATGAAACCAGCTCCGCTTAACAATTTATCAACATCATTCGCATTTCTCAAGTATCCCTCACATATCTGCCGATCCAGTTCATTAATTGCAGCCAGCATGCATTGAACAATGTAATATCCCGGTTTGTCGTTTGCATCTGTACTTAATAGCATCAACTTCTTTTGTAACTGCACTGCAACAAGTGAATTAATAGTGATGATTTTCGTCTGAAACTGCAAATAAAGTTTGGTTGTTTTTTTTTGCGGTTGGCAATGGGGAAATCGCTACCAGCAAAAAGCTGATGAACAGTTGAATGTGATCCCAAAACAGATGCACGCACAATTCAGCAATCGTCAATTAAACGAAGTGTACTTACGTAAGGATGCCACTGTTGCGATCGACTTTTGATTTGTTTTGTTGTGTTTGATCAGTTCCGCACATTCGACACGCTCAACAGGCATCACATAGAAAACACCAAGAATACGTTCGGGATATTTGCATTTTGAACAGAGTTGCTCGAGCGATTCACCGAAACTGTTCACAGCTATCGGAACTTCACTGCCCACTACCAGTTCAACCTAGCAATTTTGTATCTCTGATTATGCGGTGCGTATGAGTTGCATTAGAGCAATGAACTCGAGTTCATTTGCAGTATCTCATCAATAGGAATAGTGAATCAATAAAAAGTTATTTTTAAACATTTAAGATGCCATTTATTTTCAAACCTTCTCCAGTAAATCTGTGTACGATTGAGATGATGACTCAAATTCTGGTGTCATAATCACAACGTTTGCACATTTGATTTCATCATAAGAATCTGTTAAAACTATGTTCTTGATGGTTTCACTTGCGAGTCTCGCACTGATTTTTCGTTTCGAAACGGCTGAAATCGAATGAGTGATGATGCAATTCGGGCAGATACATAGCCAGCCCTATGCCTTTAGAAATGAATGAACTGATTACACAGATAGATCAGTATTCTTGTTGTGTCTAAGAAAGCGGATTCATTTCATCTGAATGTTTAATGATTGCAGAGGAAATCA